CAATCGATTTCTTGGGATGGATTTGTATATAATGAGCTAAAATTACACCTATTCTGAAAAACTCGAAGTTGGTGTGGACTTGATTAATACTTTGTTGTTCTATGTATCCTGGATAGAATTGATGGTCTTCAATATCGGTTAAACCACCATCACTCTTTTCAGCCAGAATTATTCGGCAATCCCACGCCTTGCCGCTGACATGCTGACTTGCCCTACCCGGATCGAATAGTAGAAAAGTATATCCCCGCCCTATGTAACAGTAGCATCAAGATGACTTCCCAAGATGACCCAAGCAATGCCCAATGCAACGGACCCAACCGCACCCCGGTAGATGATGAGATGCTCGCATCCATTGAGGAGGAGGCCGATTCCAAGCAGGAAGTCACTTCAAGAACTGCAGACAACCGTCCCAGACGAAGGATCCAGTGATAAACAAGAAAAATCAAATGAAATCATTGGTGCATCGCATGCTGGAAAGTGGGAACATCTTGTTTTTGATACTGAAAAGCTGGGGTAAGCACGATAAGGCGCAGACAGGAACATCTACCTTTGGCCTGAGTGGAGAGCACGGCTTCTAGGTTGGCCGGCTCCATCGTGCCAAACACCTTGGTTCCAAGGAACTTTTGTTCCAGCGTACTTCCTGTTTGCTGGAAGTGAAACAAGAACAACTCCATCAACCGCAACTCTGCATCTGCCTGAACCATCTGCTTAAGGCGGTCGAGACCGAAAGGCCAATGGACGTGCAGCGTTGGAGGCGAACGGCAACCATGACGAGTGCGAGTAGCCTTTTCTGCCTTGTACAACTTAGCAACACCAACACCAGACATTTCCTTACTTACTACTCGCTGCTGGTGATGAGCTAGGCACATACTGATCGCTCTTGCTACCACCACAGTGACAACTAGGAATAGTAACGCCAACATCGTCTCTTCTGGGATGAAACCTGCAGCAGGAAAGCGTTGAAGACTTGGTCGAAGAATAGTCAAACGTACGTTTGGCCTTGCTTTCTGGCGCGGTCTTGCTGGTGTTTCACGCTATATCACGTACTGTTCATTTCCAAAGCTACGATCTAGCTTGGGATAGGGCTAGGTGAAATTCTTTCTCAGCATGAAACCACTCAGGATCCAAGATCACTCAGGCTCACAGGACTCTGCTATGTAGGAGTACCAGGGCTGCAGCGGCTAGCGACAACCGCAAGGGAGAGAAGCCCAATGACCAAACCGTCATGTGGCGTGCAGTAATATTCAATTAGCCCAACAGCTCTGTCGCGGATAGCGCTGTCACCGCCTTTGCTTTTTTTATCTATTCTGTACACTTGCTGTGACGGTATCAAAATCAGTAACTACTTGGTATGGGTGAGCTGAATGCCACTCAAGGTCATCAGCAGTATCCTTGGCGAGGCCAAGTCAAATGAGGCCTAACTACGTAGACCATACTAAGCGAGATCGGATCCCTGCAAGCTGAACGCTCTGCATATCGGATGTACAGCACAAGCACAAGACAGGCATTAGCGATCAAATTTGCTACACATTGAGTTTTATTACAGTCATTAGCGATTGCGGCTTCACCTCCGCAAGCAGCATTCCAAAAGTCCAGTCATCATAAAATCGAAGGTTGGCCAATCATATCGGTCGTTTTGCAGCTGACTTCTCACGCTAAGCTTTGTATGGAAGGTGGGGCTGTTTGAAACGGCTGCACAGCTGCGTGGAAGGGTAAAGCCGCAATCGCTAGCGACTGTATGCACAGTAGGCCGAATTCTGATCACAGCTGTAGAATCCTTTTTGAACCGAAGCACTGTACAACGAATAATAATCAACGCTACTGTATATGCCCAGGAGTTTGCGATCTGGACGCGTGGGAGAGATGGCAGTCTCGACCCCTGAA